TATGATCAGTTGTGGTACTTGGTGATAGTCTCTGACTGGTACAAAATGGGCTTCTTTGATGAGTGATGACTGGGATATTTGTCAGTAAATATAAGGATACATACTTAGCACATAGTAAACCACATTAGTCTAGGGATGTGACAGTCTTGGGATTTTCCCTAAGATCTCCAGCCATGTGTATTTGGTTGTGTTTACAATACTACCCTTGAGTTTCATCCCACTGAGTGGACTTTTAGTCCAATTAGGCAGCCGTTGATTACCCCCAAGATAAAAATGCCACTACTGCGCCAGTGACATATGCTGTACTGGCCATTGATGTGGTTATTTGGTCTTGAAGCTGGTGTTGGGCCCTCTATTGATGTTTGCCCTTGGCATCTTCATAATGCTCTCCAAAGCTATGAGAGCTAGCCTTCAGTGGTTGCAGGTCAGTTGTAGCTCTATTGCTCCAAATCCTGTGTCTGAAGTATGTTTCTGTCTTCAGCAGAAGGGTCTTACCTTCAAGTTCTAGGAGGCCATCGAGGGCTATGGCAATAGCCTGAGTAATTTTGAGAGTCTCTTGGACCACCCTAGCCAACAACTCAAAGGAAGGTTTCTCCTATCTGGCACTGTTTCTTTTTATGTAGCCTTTAGCTATATACATGGACTCATGTAGAGATAATGTATGTGTAATTTGTCATTAGGTTGTTGGACTAATATGATTCCCTCTGGTTTTTTAAAAGTAGCTAGGATTATTTATCTCTTCTCTCTCTCTCTCTCTCTCTCTCTCTCTCTCTCTCTGCCTCTCTCTGTCTAACCCTTCTGCCATGGTTTCCCTATTTAAAGTGCCCCCATTTTCCCCATTTCTCCCTTGATAATACCAGTCTCCTATGGTCCCACCTCTCTTGAGCTCCTTCTTTCCCTTTATCCCCAAGTTTCCTTGTATAACTCCCCCCTCCCTCCTCCCATTTAAATAACCCCATTTTTATCCAGAATAATGAAAAGGAACCAGGGAAGTAAAGGGAAGGAAAGAACCTGAGAGAAAAGAACAGTAGGACACAGGTGTTACTAAGGGAGAGATGGAAAATATATCTTAAGTAGACTTCCCTTTCAAATAGCAAGATAGAAAACGTGGATAAATTGTTAGAGAATTACATTTTAAATGTAACTTTAACTGTTTCTGTGATGCCATGAACAGACACTTGGGGCTAGTGGAGGGGAATTCTCTTGGGGTGCCAGCTACCATGGGAATGAATCCCTTGGATTCAGCACCTGGGCTTAGGAGTTGTGGCAGGGGGCTGGCAAGCAGAGTTAAGAGTCCAAGAGGTTCTGGCCTGTAGGACACATGCAAAGTCGCAGACTTCTCTGTGCCTGATCCTTTAGCTGCTGCCAGCAGTGACTGATTGACAGGCCTGATAAAGCACAAGGCAAACGGAGAGCAGTTTCTAAATATAAGAACTTTGACATCATTTGTGAGATCTCAGCAGTTCTATAATAAGCTTAACCTTTGTTCACCCTGGAACAAGATTTCATGAGAGTTTGGTTTATTCTTGTTTGGCCTTCTGTCCTAACAGTTTACCACAGTGAGGGACACTACAAAATGTGCAAACTCTAAGTCTACAAAGGCTTATTTTCAAAGTGTGGTGTAAGTATCTGCCTACTGATCCTCAGAGCAAGAGCTCACTATCTTTGGCAGTTGTTATTTGTTAATGTGCAACTAGATCTGGTGAACTCTTGCCTGGTTACATGATAAGGAATTAGCGTGCACTGATTAACCACGTGGTTTTATTGTGCTATTTATTGTGGTCAGACTCAGGTTACTGGATTCAACAGAGTACACTAACAACCATGGTATTAACATTAGTTTGCCCTTTCTTTAGCAGTTTAAAAGAACTTTGCGATCTCTCAGGACCTCATTATTTTCACTGCAAGCTCTACAGATTTAGAAGATATGAGCAACTGGGCCTGACATATATCCAGGTAGCTTCTGAATATGTCCTAGAGTCTGGTTCTGGACTTGGGTACTATTTTCTCATAAGAGAAAATGTTTCGACCACTCATCATTGGAGTCTTCTTCTTGCTTAGATTCAAGTCACTGGGATTGTTCTAATGAAGTGGCCTCCTCAGATTGATGCCATCCTCAAGACACACAGAGATGGTGCCACAGGCAGAACTCCATGGGAGAGGAAATGTTGATGGCACATGCTGTATGTGCCAATCCTAGACCCTCATGCCACCTCTGGGCCTACAGACAGAATATGGTGAATATGGCCACCTGGACTTCAGTCTGATTCTGATAGACCAATAGCAAAGTTAGTCTGAGGACTTCTTTTTAACTCCCCTCATGAAATGTCAATTACTTTTGGGAAGTTCATGACTACCTATAAACATGACCTATGTATTCTAAGGTTCTGTGTATCAAAGTATCAAAGTTGGTATGTTATTCCTCTTTAAAAGTAGGGGAAATAGCTCACTGAGTTCTTGGTGCTATTGTGTTTAGAGTTTAACTCTAAAGTTACAAGACAGGTTTTCTTGGACAGTGTTAAAAGGATATCAAGTAGGTGTCCTGGGAAGGCTTTGAGCGACACACTAAGCATGCAACTAGTTGCCTCTGAAAAAGTGCTGCTTTAACGTCGAGGCAGGGCCATTAAAAGACTGTCCATCTATCACTTGTCCCAGTGCTCTTAGGTAGGCTGGCCAAACTCACTCTCAGCCAGCCAGCCGATAGCAAACTCCTCAGCTTCTGGCCTGGATTCCCATCCTGCTGCCTGATACTTGCCTATCCTCTCTGCTCCTTCTTGACTCGTTCTTCATTTTCTTGACTGCACTCTGGCCCTTTAGTCCTGGCCCTTTAGTCCTCATGATACTGCCACCCCGGGGCTCTGGTTTGTACTAATGCCCTTAGGTTACATCCATGCCTTCCTGCTCACAGTAATTAATTCCTTCTCCCAAGTCTTCAGAGCAAGTATGCACAGGCTCCTGTGTGTACGTGTGTGCCAGAGAGATAAATTTGTTTCATCACAAAGACCTTTTATGACTCCTAAACAGCCCTTACTGGTTCTACAGCCAGTTTATTCTTAGTTTAGTAGGCTCAACTTATTATTAATACTATCATTATTGCTATTATTGTTTATCAGTTGGCAAATAACTATTAAGACATGATAGGTACCCTGTGCCTGGCTTGGCATTCAGGAATTACCTAACTCCCTTTAACTCTGAAGAGGATGTGAGGGTGAGTTTGTTAAACACAATCAACCTACATTCATAAGAGCTATCTGCCCTTATCTCCAAGGTTCAGAGGTAAAACTAGCCAACATCCCTCCCCCACCCCCATTCATCAAGGTAGCTAAAAAGAGGCAACCATCCCAGATGGTCCTTTTTTTCCTTTTTGTTTGTTTTTGTGTGGTAGGGTTTCATCATATAGCCCAGGCTGTCCTTGAATTCTCAATTCTCCTGCCTCTGCCTCCTGAGTGCTGTGATTGCAGACATGTACCACCACGCCACCTTAGACCATTATTACTAAAGTGTATACATGATGTCAAATACAAAAGTGCAAAATAGAGCTTTGTGCATAATGTGTCTATGAATGTTATTAAAACTATCATAAACCATGAGATGGGGGCTGGAGAGATGGCTCAGCAGCTAAGAGTGAATACCACTTCTGTTGACTCAAGTTCAGTTTCCAACATCCATATCAGGTGGCTGTAACTCCAGCCCCAGGGGGGTCCACTGCCCTCTCTGGCTTCCACCAGCACTGTACTCATGTGCACAAACCCAATCCACCCGTCCCCCACTCCACACATATACATATAACTTAAAAAATAATCATGAGCTAGAGTGCTCATAAACCTATGGAAGAACACATGAGAAAAACGATAACATCAGATGCCTCTGGAAAGAAACTGAATAGTTGAAATTATGGGAAAGAAGTATCTCACTGTGTTCCTTTTTTTTTTAAGATGCTCTTTTTAGCTATCAAAAAATAAAATCTATTTCTGAAGGTTAGGTCCTTAAAAAGGGGAAAGAATGCTGGAACAGCAGGAGCTGTGATCCCTTGCTGTAACCTGTAATGTTAAGCGAATTAATGAGTGATACACTGGCAGAGATGTAGCAAACAAATCTCTGGGACATCATAGGAGAAGGAAGCAGATGGTACCGTTGTAAATTATGCTCCAGTATTTTCTGAAAAAGCATCAGGTCAGCTTTCAGGAGTGTCCATGTGCCCAGGTGCCCATGATCTGTGGTGACAGCTGACAGGTCTGCTGGTGACAGGCCAAGGCTGGCGGGGAGGGAAGCATTTGGAGAGTCCTGGAGCACTGTATGGTGTGTCGTGGCCAGCAGGCACAGCAGCTGCAATGGCTCCTGCATGGTTATATGTGTGGGTTTCATAAGGACCCACCATCAGTTTAAAGATTTCTAGAGTATTGATTTCAGGCATATTGAGTCATGTTACCACCATACTGAATATCTGTTCTCAGAGTTTTGTGTTTCTGCTATAACCAATAAACATTGTGCATAGAAAGCACAGTACGGTATCAGTGAAGGCTGGTACCTGTGCTTCCACACTACTTCTTGGTGACATCTGAGTATAATACAGTGAAGAGGCTGCAGCAGCCCAGCCCTGCACAGCCTCACACAGGTAAGTCCCAATGCCCCACATACCCACCTGGATGTCAGAATTTCAAATCACCCACCACAGGCTCCAGACACAAATGCTCTCAGAGCATGTGGTGATCAGATCAGGGTAACTGGCAAATCTACTGTCTCATACATACATCACTTCTTAGTGTAGAAACCACGTGTTGAAAGTTTCAATTTACTAAACAATTGTATAATAAATGTATTAAAGTAGCATCTATGTGCAGTTCTGTTTTTTAAGAAAGCAAAACACAAGCCTTATTCTATTTGTTATTTTTAGTTGACGTTTCAAAGACTCCTACGCAAAGATTTATATTGCTACTGAAAATCATGGGAACTTGGAGAAAAGGCCTGTCCTTGAGGTAGACCCATCTTTTGTCATCTAGGGTCAACTGAGCCATCACTCCGGGATCACAGATCTGTGCTGGACACTGGAGCTCCCCACTTTTCTTCAGAGTTCCCATATACAGATGAATACTACCCAACTGCCCCATCCATGTTAAAGCCTCTAGGAAGAGCACTTCTTCCATCCCTGGGACCCACATGGTGGAAGGTGAGAACAAACTCCCACAAGTTGTCCTCTGATTGCCACATGGATGCTGTGGTATGTGCATGCCTGCACACATACATACATATTCACACATAATAAATAAATAAATGAAAAAATTGTTTAAGTACTCTTATGCAGAACGCAAGTCAGAGATCATGACTGTCAATAATTTTTATTTCTTTCCATGACATTTGGGTACAATGCAAGCATGACATATACACATATTTCATCATAAAAGGGCAGCACATACTATGTAAACTTTTTTCTATCTTGTTTCTCTCCCCATGAATAATCTTACAGAAAATTCTCTATGAGCCACATCCATGTAATTTTTAAAGATTTATTTATTTATTTTTATGTGTATGTCTATATGCCTCAGTGTGTTAAGGTGTCCACTAAGTCCAAAAGAGAGTGCTAGACCCCTGGAGCTGGAGTCACAGGTGACTGTGAGCTACCTGACTTGGGTGTTGGGAACCAAACTTAAGTCCAGCACAAGAACAAGCGGTCTTAACCACTGAGCCATCTCTCCAACACCACATAATTTTTTAAAGCTGTTGTTTAAATATATTTCATTATATACATGCTCCAATGTTTAATGTTCTAATGAATGGACTTATAAGTTTGTCCAAACTTTAATTTCAGGCAGTGCTATAGTTTATGCCTTATAGCTACATCTTTGCACACAGGCAGAAACATGGTATATTTACAGTTTTCTGCTGCTGTGATAAAACACCATAACTAGGGCAACTTACAGAATTTATCGTGTTTACAGTTCCAGAGGGTAAGAGTCTATCATGGCCCAGGGGAGACACGGCAGGAGGCAGCTGCAGCAGAAAGCTGAGCACTCACATCTTCAAGCAGGCACAGGAAGCAGACAGCTCCAAGATGGAAATGGGACAGGGCTCAGACAGCTCTCAATGACATGAATTCTCCAGCAAGGCCACACCCCCTAAACCTCCCCAAACAGCACCACCAACTGATCAGGTGTCAGATACTTGGAGCCTATGGGGAACATTTTTATTCAAACCACCACACTTGCCTATGGAGCAGGTTCTTAGAAGTGAGATTTCTTTTGCAAAGCATACATCGGCTTTGTGATCACTGTTAAATGGAACAGCCTCCGTAGAGGAGGCAACATGCTCACTTCCTGCACTGCCCGTGGTTGCCTCTTTCCCCAGAGCCTCTGCAAAATGGAGTCTGTCAGATTTTTGGAATGTTGCCAATCTAGAATGATGCCAATGTTCTAAAAATGGTATCTATGTAAATTTAATGTATTTGTATTACATTATAGGTAACAACTAATGAACTTTTTCACATCTTTTTCTAAAAACTCTTATGTCTTTTATGCATTTTTCCATTAGGTTTCCATTAATGATTCCTTTTTGATTTGTAAAACATATTTTCTTAACAATTAATTTGCTTTAACCATCTGCTTTGTTAATATGAGTTTCCATTTGTAGTTTGTCTTAGATCTTTCTTTGAAGTGTTTTTGGCATGAAGACTTTTTTTCACTTTTATGTAGACAAATGTACCAACATCTTATAGCTCTAGCTTTTGTGTCTTCCTTAGAAAGGCCTTTTTCTTTATTTCAAGATTGAGTTTAAAAATTTTCTTCAAGCACCTTCATGGTTTCACTGTTTTGGATTTAAATATGAGACTTACCTGCTATTTATTTTGAGCCAGAATAGGCATCCTTTCTTTGTTGTTCAAATTGTTGGCCTTTGAAATATTGAATAACTATCTTTTGCCTGCTGCTTAGACATGCTGCTTTCAAGAAAATCATTGGATTTGCAGTGGGCATTGAACTTGGTGGCACCACTTGATGTCTTTTAGCTTTGTCTTGAAGCTCACTTCAGAACCTCAGGAGGGTATCACAGAACAAGTATGTCTCTCTTCCAGGTGCTATAGACTCTGACTGTCCTGGAGAGGTCACTCTATTTCTTTCTTTTTTAAAATTAAAAAAAAATTATGTGTGTATGAGTGTATTGCCTGCATGTTGTAAGTGCATCTGTGTCATGCAATGCTCATGGATGTGGGAAGAGGGTATCAGATTCCCCTGGAACTGGAGTTACAGACAGTTGTTAGTCATCATGTGGGTGCTGGGAATCGAACCTAGATCCTCTGCAAGAGAAGCCAGTGCTCTTAACCACAGAGCCATCTCTCCAGCCCCTCTATTTCTTTCATAGGCTGTTTTTTTAAAAATTATCAACTCACCATAAGTATTTCACAAATAGTTCAATAAACAACTGTATAAACTTTGTCTATAAACACTATTATAAACATTTCCCCATATTTCCTCTATTCTCCCCTATATATTTACATACTTATATCTAAACATACACATTAATATATTTTTAACATTGTAAGAATTAGTTGCACATGTAATTTCAATTCACCTCTATATATAGCTTCAGCATTATCCCAAGAACAAGATTTTATTGAGTGCTTCTGGTTTTGTATTGCCTTGGCATTTATTTAAGTATGCTTTGGCTTTCTCAGACCAGAAGCTGGACTCAACCACCCTTGACAGGTTGTGGCTGTACACTTCTACCACAAGTTCCTCAATGTGTCAACTCATTGCCTTATGCTACTCCTTTCTGGTGACCACTTCACTGTAGGACAGTTAGATGCAGTCTGCCTGACAGCTCCTCTGACCTTTACACCTACATGAACTGTGTGGATAAGCCCTGGGGCCATCTTTCAATCACTGCAGGATTGGTGTCTGCTTGATGTAAGCCTGCATGCTAAAACTCCACTGAACTAGTATAAGTGCTAGCCTAGCGCTCTCTCTCTCTCTCTCTCTCTCTCTCTCTCTCTCTCATCACTACCTTAGCCTCCACACATGTAGTAGAGGTCCACTGCAAGTACTTAAAACTTAAATGTTCATTTTATGGTTGTGTCACTGAAGTCATGTCAGCACTCTGACCCCTTATAGCAGGTCACCCATGCAGATGGATCCCTTGCCAGTGTTCTTCTGGGTAGTGACTAAGTTGCAGAGAAACTCAGAGTTTCATCCAAACACAAGAATAGTCATCTACAGAGCCACAACAAGAGAACCGTACTCAGGAGAGCCAGCATTGATACAATACTATTGTCCTATTAATATTCAAACTTTTCAACTTGCTCTAATAAAAATCCTTTATAGGTATTTCACCCAGGATCTAATCCCGACTTCACCACATGTTTAGTCATTTCCCTTTAGCCTCTCCTATACCAGGGATTGTTCTAATCATTCCTTTACTTTTCTGTTTTTACCTGAACATTTTTGTTGTAGTGTACATGATCCTGGATTGCTTGAGCAATGTTGGTTAGGACGCTGTATATAAGCATCCTAGCCCTAGCAAGAGACAGGGATGACAGTTGCCTCATCAGTGATACTACATTTATTCACTAGATTAATGTGACAGTCACCAGATTTCTAGGCATCTGTGATTTTTAGATGTTGACCATATGAATGTGGTGTATAGCCAGGTTTAGGAACCATCAAACAGATGACTCAGAGGTGGGAACGTCTCCTACAGTGTCTTTGAGGGCTATATATTTTTTAGAAATTGTCAGCACTAATAAAGGGAAACTGATAATCTTCAACAATAGAAAATCCCTTCATCTAGTTTAATTTATTAAAAACTCAAAATAATGAAAGATAGGGACTCAAACAGATACTTGTAAACACATGCTCATAGCACTACTCATGACTGCCAGGAAGTTAGATAGAAACTAATGTCTGTTGCTGGATGAATAAGCTAGCAAAATGGTCACTATAGCAAGGAAATGGAACCAACTTCACTGTCCAACAACAGATGAATGAATAATGAAAATCTTGTATATAGATATATGAATATTATTCAGCTCTAAAGAAAAATGAAATAAAAAATTTACTGCAAAATAGTTGAACCTAAAATGTACAATATTGAGGTTGCACAATTTCAGAAAGTAAAAAAAAAGTTTTCCCTTATATGCAGTTTCTAGCCTATAATGTATACATGTACATTTGTAAACAAATTCATGTGTGGGTATACTATTATATTTAGAATTGAGAACAAAAAGGGTAATTTGAAAAGAAAGGGAGCATAGTTTTTATCCTTTCTTTTTTTTTGAGACAGGATTTCCCTGTAATCCAACTGGCCTGGAACCCATTATGCAGACCAGGGTGATCTCGATCTCACAGAGATCCACCTGCCTCTGCCTCCTGAGTGCTTGGACTAAAGGCATGTGCCACCATGTCCAGCTTTGTCATTTTTTCATGGTGGATATGTGTATTCAACTTTCTATTGGTTGAAGTAGCAGGAATAATTTCTGTATTCCATAACAGTCCAATAAGTGAGGGCTGGAGAGATGGCTCAGCAGTTAAGGGCACTGGCTGCTCTTGCAGAGGATCCAGGTTCATTCCAGCACCCACATGGCAGCTAACAACCAACCTTAACTCCAGTTCCAGGAGATCCAACACCCTCTCTGACCTCTGAGGGCATTGCACGATATGGGTGCACCCACCAACACGCAGGCATTCATACACATAAAAATATAAAAAGAATCTAATAAGTGTTGGCCCTTTGGGGCAGTAATAGGAGTTCGGCTTCCTTTCTGATTCCATTGAGCAACAGCACAGTGAGAACTGGACATGGCTGAAGACTGATTTGTTGGATCTGCTGAACGAGATGGTACCATTATTTTTCTTGGTAACTACTGCTTATTTTGCTATGCATTTTCTAATTTTCTAATAAAACTTTGAAGAAAAAGGAAATTCTAACACATGCTACAATATGGATGGACTTTGAAAATATGTTTGATGTTCCTAAGTGATAGAACACAAAGGGTTACACAACATGCAGAGCATAAGAGGCTGCAGGGTGCTTATCCCCCAAATAGGATACCTATATCAAACCTCTGTCTCCCAAGGCTCAGGGATCATTGTAGAAGAGGAGGTGGAAAGATTGTAAGAACCAGAGGTGATGCATGAGCACAAGGAGACAGTTTTTCAGACAGTAAGGAAGTTACTCATATGAACTCACGGCAATCATGACAGCATGCAACAATCCCGTGTAAGCCCAAGCCAGACAAAATCCCAGCATAGATGTAGGAAAGCAGGTAAGACACCTCAACCCTACCTGAGGAACTATTGGTAACTGATGGCTGCTGGGAGGAGAAGAGTCAGTCTTCTTTAAGGGTGTGACTCTGGGTAGGCTAACCAGGCCCCAGTGGATGGACCCATTCTGAAGGACATTTAGGGAACACACATACATACATACAATAGATTACATGAAATCAGGTGGGGTAGTAAGGGAATGCAGATAGGAAAGGAAGTATAAATATGATCAAAATATATTGCATTAAATTTGCAAAAATGCAAAAAATACACACACCACAAAAGTCAGAACCTACAACTATTTTAGGACTTCTTTTTTCTTGAGAAAAGAAAAATTAAACATCTGCATGAGAGCAGCGCACCCATTTCTGGCATGGGACAATGCCTACAGTCAGTCATTGGCCTGGCTCTCCCCCTCGCTTTGTTCTATGCTGCCCAGTCCTGTGCTGGCAGAGGATCATATAGAGGTTGCTTGAGAGCCACATGTGTGTGATGGTTTGCGTCAAAGTGCTGAAGAGCATGGGGAGGTCTTTTATCTCTTAAAGCACCAGGGCAAAGAATTTATTCACCTGGAAACAATCTGACATTTCTAGATGGACAATCATCAGGGGAAAAACAACAATACAACTTTGCTGTGTGCAGCTCCATTTCCCCCATCTGGGAGGCCACGGGGACACCTTAGCTGCCCTTGCAGCAGCTCAGTCTTCCCTGGCAGCCGAACTGCAGGTTCTGTGAGGAGCCCTATGCTCCATGCAACTCTGAATTCAGGCTCAACGGGCCTGTCAGTGCCAGCTGCAGCAGATCACATGGGCCCAAAGCCCATGCTCGTGCTAAGAAAACCACTCAGTTCCTGGGAGGTTTGATGCTTGTCCCTCAGGTGTGATACTCAACTTTGGGAAGGTCTGAGAAGGCCAAGCATCCACTTACCAGTCCCACCCCACCTCCCTCTGGAGTTTTGTTTACTCCATAGCAGCAGACAAAGGCAAAAATAATCAAGAGAGGAGTCCAGATGGAGGAGAAGAAGGAATCTGGGTTGCAAACTTCCGTGGGAATCAGGCCCTCCAGTTCTCAAGGGCATAGTCCCCTGCACCTGTCAGCCAGCAAAGCAGGCCAAGGACAGGGAAGCATAACTTCCACAGCCTGACTCTAGCCTCCTACCACCTTCTTTAGAGTCTTGGGCTCCTGCTTTCCAACCCACTCAAAAGGTAAAGCAGCCCCTTAGGTCTTGACTAAAGGGATGGCTGCTGTCAGTGCGGGAGCAACAAAAGCTAACCAAAGACAGCTTGAGAAACCCCAACTTCCAAGGACTCAGAGGAGAAAGAGTGTAGGTAGGAGTAAACTTTCAGAATTCTTAGGTCCCAGCCTGATTCTTTCTTAGACCCAGAAAGTAAAAATCTAGTTCAAGGGTCAGACTTTCAAGCTCCAGGCATGAAGTTGGAGAAGGGCTCCAAGGTCTTCATGGAAAGGTATTTGTTTTCTCTGAGAACATTATCCTCCTTCCCATCAGCACTTCTCTGCTAAGGACAAGCCTGGTTAGTGGGAAAGTGAAGGCTCTTTATTTAAAAAAAAAAAAAAAAAAAAAAAAAAAGAAAGAAAAGAAAGGAGTTGAAGCCACTGACTAGGAAAGAAATTTCGGAGGTAATACCCTGGACCCAGAGACACAGTCTCCTTTGGTCCCTCTAAAATGACGAAGTTTCTCTTCCTTGTTTTCTTTCCTTGCAGATCTGTTGCCTGTTCTGCAAGATAGTAGTTTTCTACTTGTGACAAGCCTCCTACACATCACTCCCATCCAGGCAGCCATCACCCACTCATCTAGAGGAGACTATTTTTGTGCCCGATTTGCTTGCCCAGTTTGCTTGCTAGAAAGTGCTGTACTTCAGTGTGTGAAGTACAGATGGAAAGAAAAACAAAACAAAGAATCTAGTCCTCTGCCTCAGTGAGGAGGGTAGAGATTGAAAAGCAACAAAATGTGCAGTAAGCATCAATGGTGAGGGGAGGTAATGAAGTGGAAGGAGAGAGGTCAGGCTCAGTGAACCATGGCTGAGACATGTCCTTCCAGCTCAGGATTTGGTGTGACCATGCACCCATACAGCTCATCTTCCAGAAACAACTGGTGACCCACATATGAAAAGGACAATGAACAAACAGGGTACATCTTTAATGAGACATACATGTTGCCTCTGAGGCCAGTTACAGTCAATAATATCTAGAGAAGGCTTTAAGGAAACCAAGTAATGGAAATGAGATAAAAGGCCACTTTTCACTGAAGAGGAAACTGCGTAGATCCCAAGATATGCTGAGAAACATGCCCCACTGTCCCTGCACTTAGGAGAATGTGGCCGTAAGATTCTCCACACATTCGTGGCGTGTGTAAAACAGAAATTATTTGAAGTGGACAGACAGCCATTACCTCTGTTCCAATAAATACCACGAGCTTAAACATGCTCCTCCCAGCTGCACTGCCCATCATCTTGGAACATTTGAAGTAATACCCATAGGAAGTTCAGGATGAGCTAGAAAACAACCTTCCAAAATAGGAGCTCTCCAGCCCCAAACACTCCCACTGCCCTGAGCTGATTGACACCAACTCCCCCACACTTCACTCTGCTAAGGCAAGGGAGAGAAAAAGAGGGCTGACAGAGGCAACAAAAGAGTCTCTGCTTCAGCTTGTGCTATGTGGGGATGCAACAGCCCTGCCTGAGTGGTTATCAGTGATGGAAGCATGAGACAAAGGTTGATGGGAATTGCACAAATGGAATCAAGACAGCCCTACCTGAACCCATCCAGGGAACTCAGCACCTCCCCAATCAGAACAAACAGATATGGGTCTCCTGGTGTGGTACACTGCCAGCTACCACATATCTTGCCAAAAAAGTTCAACTCTAATTTATTCAACCTGGGGTCTAACTTTCAGTTTATAGGAAATGTATTGGTAATGGACAAAGTTAAACAATTCCTGCAGGAAGCAAGCAGTCAAAACCCAGATCATAAAACCTTAACAAGACAGTGGGTTTTGGCTTTGCTACACTACTTTGGGACTTTTTTAAATGAAAGAGAAGATGATGATGAAGAAAAAGAAAAGAAGGATATATTCTATATTAAAAGATATGCAGAAGACATAGTAGCGAAATGCAGTGCTTGGACCTATCCAGACAGGGAGTGGGACTGAGGGAACCAGAAACCTGTGCAGAATTTGCAACTAAGTAATACCAAGGAAGCCATCAGCTTTGTTGGTTATGAGATTGGCATTGCAGTTATGTAGGAACTAGAAAAGAAGA